CATCACAACTACACACCAAGGTTAAGGAGTATTGAGCAGTTTAATCATCAGAAGCTTAAGACTAACGAACACTGAGTTTTGGGACGAAGAGTTTAACAAAGTTATCATAGCAACGACTATTTCAGAGAAACCAGAGAAAGAAGTATGGGGATCACAAGGGGCAGATCTCAACTTGGATTTTACAAAAATAAGAACAGTAATCGAGAAGGCAACCAAAGGTGGATATGTTTGCTCTCCTGTGAACTGAGACGAAAATTATGACAATTACTAGGAAAATGCAGTATAAAATGGTAATAAAAAAAAGGCAACACGGACTGCCAACGCAACACAAGGTCGGGAAACTGTGAGCAAAGAATATCGATGTAGCCGGAATAAAAGTAGGCCTACGAATCGAGAAACATGAAAGACTGCAGAAACATGGATACAGAATGATGTGAATAGGTAAATGGGCCATATGAATTAGGGTTGAGAGGATTTGCAGCACTAAAGGTAGCACGAAAAATTAGGGGTGAGGAGTGATGCCCCAACGGTGTAGCAGAAAATTGCTCAAGGCGATTGCCTTTACTGGCCGCTCCGACAAGTTTTAGCTGCTAGCGATGGCGGGTCTTACTGACGATGCTGGCAAAATGTCTGGGAATGCACCAGTTCAACGATCCGGTGCTGGAAATCATCATACTATGACCGAGGATGTTGGTCTAGGTACGTTCCATAAGGTATCCCTATCGTTCCGACCAAGCTGCAAGGGTTGGGTCAAGCCAAGGCTATAAGAAGGCTGTGACCAAGCAAAAGGCCACACCATATATGTAGAAATCATTCTTTAGTTTCTTAGTTATGAGTATATATAAGATGTAGGAAAGAGCCGGACAGTCTTCTCGATTTAGTGCTAACCTGAGACCAGCAAAAATGAGTTCTAGCTTTGGTGATGCACATCACTCAGCCCGGTTTTATCCGAAACTATGGATTATCTCTGTGGACCACGTCAACCTGTATGTCGTATTAAAGTCAAACGGTTGCATAACAACCATAATTGACCGTCGTCCTCCACGAGATTAATCAACAGACCTTTCCATAATGTACTTCATACAAAATGAAATTCGCCACAATAATTATCCATGTTTGCTACGAAATTGAAATGTAGGCAATATATTTACAATATCTAGGAGGTTGTTTGACCTAGTCTTCTCAACTTGTTCATATTGGAAGAAGAGTATAGAGGAACGCACCCTGTCTGGAGTCCGTAGTATGTATGATAATTTCCAGATCGTACCGCGGTCTTGGTACATTCCCAAGTGGATAGGGTGTGCTCCTCTAGGTCTTCTTGACACTAATGACCAGGCTGAAGAAACAAGGTCAAACAACTTCTATACGAGGCGACCGCGACTCTACTTAAGGCCACACCATCTTGTTCTTCATATCTTTATCTATACAATGTCTTGAAAACACAAGCTGCCTAGACTCGCAGGTCCACCAAGACCAGCATCCTTAGCGAGCTACGCAGAGGGTATTACGCAACCTCATTGACAAAATGTGCAACCTAAGATGTTATTCCGGGTTGAATTTGCGCCCTGGTGGAGAGCTTATGGATAAAAAGAATGCAGTAAGCGAAAGGGCGCTCATACCTTATCCCACCTCATGTCACAGACCGGAGGCCGATAAATCGTCAGAAAATTCGCAAGTATAAGCTGCCAAAAATCCTCTGATCGGGTTCAGCATCCACAAAAGCATAGAAGAACAGGCGCTAGGTCTCCAGCATAAACTTAGCTGAACTTTGTCTTCACAAAATAATCGTAGGAAGTTGCTCCTCATAAGAAATGACCTGGTAAATTTATTGTAGTCCACTGTTAATGCTAATTTTTGTGCTAGTCCCCAATATGATTAATCAATTTTATCGAAAAAGCCAGTGTCTGTCACTGAGATTTAAAGTATCTGACTGAAAAGTGCTGACAACAAAAGACCTAGGAACGATTTGTTGTTAAGTTACTAAAAAGCAAGAGTATACAATACTTAATGAAACAGATAGGCCCGGAGATATGCGCGATGCTGGAAGGCGTTCAGAAAATCGCTAATCCTCTAAATCTTCTCGTTATCAATGTACCCTATCATATACAAAGAATAAATACGTTTCGTCTAATTTATTATACTTTTTTATATACGACCACCGACTTACCATTAGCAACATTCTCGAATATAGAGCAAAAGTAACCGCATCAGTGTCATATATCATGTACAAATCAGAATGGATGTATCACATAAACAAGTGATGGGCGAGCATTCATATAACAAGTGAATGCTTAAAATATAAAACGTATTAAGTGCAATCTAAATGAAGAACATCGGGAGTGTCAAAAATAGCTGGCTCCTGATTTAATTAGTTACGCTTTGCCAATTTCTTCATAGCTCACTTAAAAGGTTGTATTACATTGAAAGGTTCGGCCGAATGCTCAGCAAGGTGAATATGGCTGCTACCGCTATAGCACTCAGTACTGCCGAGATTATCATGGTGCTGCATCAGGCAATGCTTTTGTTGATGATGCTGGGAGTGTTGATGAGCCGGATTGGTGTGATGAAAATGATGAGTCTGACTATGGTGTATAGATGGGGCGTTTGCAGGAGCCAACATATGGGGCTGGCCGATAGCAAGTCCAGGTGGTGGCCAGGTGAATTGAAAATTGCTAGCAGCTCGGGTCCAATCGTCCTTGGCAACCTGAGGCACCAGTCAAAATTAATAAGAATAGGTTACGATAATAGAAACTTCATTAAATATGTAATGTCCTATTATGAATATCAAAAAGATATTTACGAAGAAAATACGGGTTTCAGAGAATCTCCTGAAATAACAATGTTGTGGAGACTTTCATTTCGTATGAGAGTGCATTATAAAGAGATGCGTAGATCAATCTCACCAGAAGATGCCGGATGATTCGCGTTATGCTGAAGCCGTCTGGCTTTAATACGATGTTCGGGTTGATGCAGTCCACGAGACATCCTCCAACCTTTCAGGCGAAGACGGGCCGAGCTTTCGTTCGTCATTTGAAGAAAATTGTCAGAACTGGGACTCATTTTTGCCAAAGCCTCAGGTTAAGACTAAGTAAAGAAGACTGACCTGCTTTTTCCTATATGATATACAGTAAAACCTGTTTTTGTGCGGTCCTTCTTTATGCGATTTTATTTTTGTGCATAAAAATAAATCACACGAAAAAAATTGCACAAAAATAAAATCACACAAAACCAATCGCACAAAAACAAAATCACATAAAAAAGGACCGCACAAAAACAGGTTTTACTGTATATGCCTATTTCGAGAAAAATTTAGATAAATATGAATATATAGAGATCTGGTTAGTTCACCTATACTCGAGTGTTTCTCTGTGTGTATGCAAACATATGTACACAAAACCGGTCATAACTCAGAGTAATTAGAACAAGTCTAACGTCAGCCCGGGGTCATGAAAGCTTAATGGCACAAGGAAAAAAAAGATGACCGAGAATGCATTAGTCCATAAGTAACTCTGATTCAATTGATGAGGTGTAAGCCTGCACGCGTGAACTCAGGTTACGAAACCACTAGTCCGGACCCGTTAGTCTGGGTCATTAAGGTTAAATGACCCAAGAAGAAGCATGGCTGGGATTGCGTAGCCTTGCACGTGTTTTAGTTTATGATTTTGACATGCTTGTCGAGCGAGAGCATATGGTCAGAACCGCCACTTAGCTGGCAAGTTGAGTCGTTTCCTTTCGGACGGCGTTGCAACACTCCCTCTCTCCTTCGTTCTATCGATCAAGCATACTTAGTGCTTACTCAACTTTCTGCCACATTCAACCTAATGCCTAATCTATTTATTTCGATAGAAATAGTTACTGCTCATCGATAGATCAAGAAGACTTAGAATGAAGGCTATACTTAAACTAATTCCCTACATAATCTCTGAATGCTCATTCAGGAATGAAAATTATCTGACCGAAGAGTTAAGAAGATTGAAAGATTTAGTCCTGGAGAATTATCATTTGGGCTGAATTGATTATAACATCTTTAATGAGGAATACATTTTCAGACAGAGACTTTTTGATCAGAGATAGTCAAGCTCTTTCTTATGTTTTAGTCTTGCCATCATGCTTTCTTTCTAAGAAGATAGGCGAACTAGTAAGGAAGTAGGGAGTAAATACAGTTTAAAAAACGGACACTTTCTTCGGTTATGCCTTTTTATAGAGAGAAATAGGACTCACTATCAAGATCCGGCTGTTACAAGATCGTGTGTTCCTGTTGGTGAGACCTGTCGGCCGATCTGACAAAGATTAACAGAGCACAACAATGCTTATAAGGGCAGCTGGGTGGCTGAGCACAGGGCGAAAACTGGACATGAGGTAGAATGGTCTCGGACGCAGGGTTCGCTGTTTATGGAATGTATGTTATGAAGCGCAAGATAAGAGAGGCTATCGAAATTAATAGAGTGGGAAATACGTTGAATGTGAAGAAAGGTGGTAGAAAGTTGAGTAAGAATTACTTATGCTTGCAACGAGTATATATATTTAATAGAAAAAATCGGGTCAGTTTTTTTGAACTAGTGTTAATTTGAGGTTTTTGTAAGAATGAGTCCCAGCTCTGACAACGTTCGTCACATGGCGAACGAAAGCTTAGCTCATCTTCGTCTGAAACGTTGGAGGATGTCACGTGGGCTGCATCAACTTGAAAATTGTATTAAAGCCTAAAGGCTGCAGTACAACACAAATCAGCCGGCTTATTCTGGTGAGATTTACCTACAAATTCATCATGCACTTTTATACGAAATTAAGGTCTTCACAAATAAAGTGTTTATTAACATTTGAATGATTTCAGCAGCCGCAAGTTTGACTTATGAAGTCTCAGACTAAGAAAGTTGAATTGGAGATCAATAAAAACAATAAACATTTGCTCATCCAACTAAGTGGCTATACACTAAGGGTAACTAGATATTCGACTGAAAGATATAAATCTTTTCTAATAGAATGTATGGGACCCGACATATTTAAAATCTAGGCACAAATTCCGAAGAAGTTATTATATACAAAAAATAATAAGGCACGGACGACAAAAGGGAACTCATGTAATTAGATAAGTTAAAAATAATGAAGGAATAGGGAGAGGAGAGTAGCAGGAAATGTGATCTCACTTGTACAGTTAGTCGCTGCACGAGACCAGAGAGTTGATTAGTTACGTGGGCCAAGACAAGCTGTTCATCAGCATCTCGGCGAACGCGAACCGTCAGGCTCCCAGCCATGTGGCTAAAACCAACTAGGCAAAAAAATAGGTGGGTCAAAATGTGGTTTTACCACAATTTATGTTAGATAATTAGGACGAAATGTTAGGTCTTGTGCCCATGTAGTAATGTCGATGCGAGGGAGACATGCCGACCCATCCAGAAGAGGTTATATGAACACAAAACCGCCTGAAGGTCTCGGGGTTCAAAATTCTGAGTAGACTCAACATATGGACAATAAAGGGCGCGTAATAGAAGGGCCAAGAACAGAATTTTGCAGGCTACGGGCACTTCACATCTAAGTGTAAGACTTGGGCTTCTATATAAATAGAAAAAATAGCCGATCTCTTGCATAAGAGGGATGAGTGTAGGAAATTGAGTGTGAACTATTTGTTGGGTTAAAGAAGATGGAGAGAGGGAGTGAGCAGGAAGGATTTCAAAGAAAGAGGTTTGAATAACTTTCACATTCAATATTACATGCAAACAATACATAATATTATATGCCTAAATATGCGCCAACATCACAGGGTCAGACACTAGTTTATTCAGGTGAGGGAACAGCGTATATATATATATATATATTGGTGAGGTTCTTCGTAAAATGATTTTTCGCTGACGGTGTCAGCCACATTATAGACTGAAGTTCAAAATAGATTCAGCGGGGTCGCAGAACAATGAGCATAAAAGACTTATCCGAATAATCCAATAGTCTTCCTTCTAAGTAAATCTTTCATCAAGTTGAGGGAGTTAAATTCAAGAAACTCCTCTAATCAACTGTTCCTTCAAAATGAAAGTCGAGTCTCAAAATTTATTCCAGATGGTTTTCTTTGAAACGGTGAGAACTTGACATTCTACGAAAGGGGCTAGAGATCATGAAGTAAAATCAAATAAAATACTAAGGCACGAATAAAATTCGAGAAAACAGTAACATTTTCTACATGGCTATACTGTCGAAGCTTATGCGAAGGCTTCGTATGTGTGCAGAATATAGACCAGCGAGCAGCTTGCATTGCCTTACCTGTCCAAAAATGTTCACTCTTCAGTTCTAGAACGCCATCTAGAGTAGATGCCTCTCGCAATGCTTTGTCCAGCTGGCCGATCAAATGCGTGGGTGTTGTTTGAAGTAAGATTCGGCCACTAAAAATAATAGAGAATAATAATGACAAAAAAGTTGGAATCATAAATGAAAGCAAAATTCAACAGGATGTTTATAAAAGCGAGATGAAATTGGTATTCAAACGATCTCATTAGGGGCTATGGTCATAGCTGAAAAACATTCAAGCTAACATGATTTAATAGTAAAAAAGAGCGAGATAGGAAATGCCATGATAGTTCAAGAGATCCATAGTTAATGAAGTTTTGATGTTCAGGTATTACACCCCGCCTTATTTACACCCTCTGTAGTCCGAAGAGCCATGGAACAGATAAAAGGATATAAATGAAGCAATCTGAGGATAAAATACTGATAATTTTACTGAAAATTACTTAAGTAGAGACTCTGAGCAAATGTTATATATCTTTATGACGACAGAGTGCTATAAGAAAAATAAAGTCCGAAAACGATTTATTTTTTAGTTAAACAGGCACCTTCACTCAAGGGGCCAAACATAGAAAAGAATAAAACATACCAGTGATTAGCCCGACAGAAAGCCATAGTGAGCAGGGATATAATTGATGTAAGCTGTTTTATTATGTTAAACAGGAGAATCGAAGACACATTTCCGCCAATTGAATAGGGAAGTATCTTGTCAGAAACCATTTCTAATGTACTGACATAATGGCTTAGGTCATAGTCAGATGAAATTTTTGGAAGGTTCTATGGTTAGTTTAAGTGAGTAAAGAATTATTATCTTCAAACCCATGTAAATTCAGATCTAATCTGATAAATATATTACAATCTCCAAGCTATTTGCCCTTCCACAGCTATTTTGATTTCAAATAATGTATTAGGAGCCTCATATACGATAGATCAAAAGCAATGAAAGCTGTTTAGATACAGGCGAAGTGGAAGTGGGAGCGTTTTAAAAATTGGCCATTTTTTTCAAAACACATCAGTATGCCGAGTTCTTTTGAATATAGTTTTCTGGCTTTGTATCTGATTCAAATGCGCTGTTTGATGCCCTAGAAGTGTAACACTACATTCTGCCTATATATATTTTGTAAGTTCATTAGAATTGGACCAAGCCCCTGCTAGAATGGCCTTTTGTATTGTAGTGACTCCAATTTCTTGTTTCACATCGACCAATTAAAGCTTGGAACCGCACCGTGCTTACCTTTTGAGCCACCCATGTGGCATGCAAAAACTATGAAAGGGTATTTAGAGCAGAAAAAATACTAGCAAGACCTTCTACAGTTTCCCTCGTGATCCTCTGCGTTGAGGCTATAAAATTATGCACCGCCATCATTAATTGTTCTTCTATTCTCGGACCTATAATATAATTGATCTGGCCCCATAAAGATGACTTGGTGGCACGACTGCCTTCTATATTCACCCTGGGAAAATCATTAAATCACGTAATATAGCACAAGCTTTTCGCTTTAGATACAGCCCTAATTACGACATTTGGCAGTGAAAGATGCGTTACTATACCCTCGGTCGAAGTGTACTAAAGGTAAAACATTCTTAAGAGTTTTAAACTAATCCTGCTTTCAGTGTTGGTTCCTCCTCGTTTATGCAACTCGGTTGGGGTAAAAGGTAGATCATGTGGAACGTACTTAGTCCCGCACTTATTTCGCTGATATCGTCCTTGAGAGGCTCCTTGCTTACAACAGTGTAACAACTCATCAAAGTGATAAATGAAGGCAATCCCTTTGCCCAATTTTATGTCCAACGGTTGTGGAATACAATGCTAGAAACTAGGGTAGGGGGCAGGGGGTACATGACAACAGGTGAACAGAAACTTGATCATGGGGTTGGCATTCATGTGTCACTTCAATGAGATGTAACTCAGTGGTAAAGATAGCACATCTCACAG